AGCGGCCGCCGGGTTCTCCGCCTGCCTTCAAGGCGTGTTACGTTGCACGTGGCTTCAGTCAGCGACAGGGAGTTGACTTCTTTCAGACCTTCTCCCCTACCCCGAAGATGACCACTCTTCGGGTACTGCTGCACGTTGCTGCTCAGCGTGACTACGAGCTCCACTCGCTTGACTTCAGCACAGCCTTTCTACAGGGCAGCCTGCACGAGGAGATCTGGCTGCGCCGCCCACCTGGCTTCACTGGGTCGTTTCCTGCTGGTACCCAGTGGAGCCTCCGGCGGCCAGTCTACGGTCTCCGCCAGGCGCCCCGTGAGTGGCACGACACGCTCAGGACGACTCTTGCTGCTCTTGGTTTTGCTCCTTCCACTGCTGACCCTTCTCTGTTTCTACGCACTGACGCTACTCTGCCACCGTTCTACGTTCTTGTGTTCGTAGACGACCTTGTCTTTGCTACTGCTGACACGGAGGCACTCGCCCACGTGAAGTCCGAGCTGCAGAAGAGACACACGTGCATAGACCTGGGTGAGCTCACAAGCTATCTTGGCTTGCGGATCATCCGGGACAGAGCACAGCGCACCATTACCTTGACTCAGTCACACATGGTGCAGCAGGTCCTTCAGCGCTTCGGCTTCACCTACTCCTCGCCACAGTCCACTCCTCTGCCTACCGGTCACTCGCTCTCAGCTCCACCTTCGGACGAGTCCGTAGAGCCGAGTGGCCCGTATCCAGAGCTTGTGGGCTGCCTCATGTACCTGATGACTTGCACACGACCTGACCTCGCATACCCTCTCAGCCTTCTGGCTCGCTACGTGGCTCCCGGCAGGCACCGAAAGGTGCACTGGGATGCTGCGAAGAGGGTATTGCGATACTTGTGCAGTACATCGGGCATGGGGCTCGTGCTTGGAGGACGGGCTCGAGTTGTCCTCACTGGTCACGCTGACGCCTCCTGGGTTGACGACTTGGCTACGCAGCGGTCGTCACAGGGTTACACCTTCAGCCTTGGCTCCGGTTCTGTCTCCTGGCGGTCTACCCGCTCTTCTTCTGTTCTCAGCTCCAGTTGTGAGGCTGAGATCTACGCTGGGGCCATGGCTGCACAGGAGCTTCGCTGGCTCACCTACCTCCTGACCGACTTGGGAGAGGCGCCTCGTTCTCCTCCAGTTCTGTACGTCGACAACAAGGCCACGCTGGCCTTGTGTCAGGAGCAGAGACTGGAGCACAGAACGAAGCACATTGCTCTGCGCTACTTCCTTGCTCGAGAGTTGCAGCAGCGTGGCCAGCTTCGTCTTGCTTACGTGGCCTCTCAGGCCAACACTGCTGATGTCTTCACCAAGGCACTTCAGCCTTGTGATCATCAGCATTTCTGTACTGTGTTAGGCCTTGTACCTACTATGCCTCACTTGTTGACTTCTTGACTCTGCTTGTACTGTACTCTATATACTTATACCTGCATGCTTACACTTGCTCGGTTGTGTTCACTGTATTGTTTGCTTTCCTTTATATAACCCTGCATGTGAACTGGCCTTCTGGCCCTTTGCTTGTGCTCAGACTGTGTGGTGACTTTGTGATCCACCCTGAGTTTGCTTTGTCTTTCTTAACTGGTCTTGTGACCCCTTGATCTCCCCCACTTTGCCTATGGGGGTGTGTCAAACATATATTTACTATAGTCGGTCTAGGCTGTAGTGGGGTAGTCCTTAGAGGGTACAACACTTATGTGTTTCCTACTTGTACCCTTCTCATTTCCCAATTCAATCATTCTTTCGTCTATCATTCTCACAGAGCGGGCCACAAGAGCGGTTCGTGGGCCGCAAGCGGGCGGCGAGCGGGCTGCAGGGGCGGCGAGCAGGCCGCAAGCGGGTGGCGAGCGGGCTGCAGGGGCGGCGAGCGGGCTGCAGGGGCGGCGAGCAGGCTGCATGGGCGGCGCGCTGGCTGCAGGGGCGGCTCGCGGGCTGCTAAGGGCGGCGCGACGGGCTGCCAAGGGCGGCGCATGGGCTGCTAAGGGCAGCACAGCGGCTAGCAGGGCGGCGTGCCGTTAGGGCAAGGCGGCAGGGTAGCTAGTGGGGCAGCTCTGGGGTGGACCCTAAAAACAATTCGGTCCTAGGGAAGGACCTGCTATGAAACCATGTCAAACTATAGAACGAGAATGAATGAACTATGAATGAGTTGGGTACAAGTACTAACCCTAATTGGGTTGTACCCCTTATGGGCTACCCCAATATAGCCTAGACAATGTAAGCACTAAAACAGTTTGACAGATACAGCTGAACTGTTTGATTTTCGGCAGTGTTGGCAGAACGGCGCAAACTCATTGGCTGTCCAAGCTGGTGCAATGTACCGTTGTCTCTGAGGATTGCCAACACCAGGCCCCCAGAAGTCAGAGAAATTTCTCCGATTTGCCAAAAAAACTCTGATATTTCAGCCTTTTGTTTTAGAAAAACCAGGAAAAATGCGCTTTTTTCTAGTGTGCAGTGGTATTTCTGCAGGAAAAACTCTGATTTTCTTAGTTAAGTCAAGTACCAACTCTGAATTTTTAGACTAACCCAAAACCAATCTGAGGGCCTGGCCAACACATGTCATTTTTGGCCTTGGGTGCGCACAAACACGCCCAGTGGCCCAGTAGGCCAGTGGTAAGTCGTGTCCGTTTCAGCACGCAATGGCGTACTGGGGCAGTGCGCTCAACCACCCCATGCAGGGGGTCTCGTGAATCTTTCATTCTTGCTCTCCATCCCTCTCGGAACCAACCACCATCCCTCTCAGCATGCTCTCTGAAACCCTCGCGGTAGGCTCTCTCTCTCTCTCTCTCTCTCTCTCTCTCTCTCTCTCTCTCTCTCTCTCTCTCTCTCTCTCTCTCTCTCTCTAATGGTCCGTGTATTGGTGTATCAAGGAATACAAACATGCAGGTTATAGATGCTAGGGATGGGAACAAGCTAACACAGAAACAAAGAGCTAAGCAACTTATCTATTCGCCCATTAATGCCTGTCTACACCTCCATGAGAGGCTCTAGTACTACACAGCTATCCCCAAGGTGGAATTCTCCCTGCACCCCCCCCACAGGGGGATTTTCTGCTGCTGCCGCCTTACTGGACTTAATAAGGTAACCCACCGACTGTGCTCTCTGCAGAGCACAGGACCACCGTTGCCTGAAGAGATGAAGGAACCTAGCTGCATGGAATGAGTGTGGTCGGGCGTTGAAGTGCCGCCGAGCAGCCGTTTCCGCCAAGAGCTTCAGAAACTGTGGGACCTCCGCGCATGGGCACCCATACGTCTCAACCGCCAGGGGGAAAAAGGCAACCGTGTCAGGGCGGCTGGCATAATGGCTGATCTTCTTGTCGGCTTGTTCCCTGGCCGCCCAACCCCTTCCCTTGGTGGCTTGTGGGTCCCTGGTGCTGATCGGGTCGGTGATGGTGACGTCGCAGATGTACACCGCCCCCGAACTCTTATCACGTAGTGTCAGGTCTGCCGTTTGCTCTTCTACCGGGCAGTATGCTGCAGATTCTCCGTGAACTATGAAGCCGGCGTCCTCTGCCATCGAGATGCAAGCGTCACGAAGTTCATTGTGAGTATTAATCCTGTGCTTGCCAGTCCCGCAGCGGAAGAGGTGATTCGGCAGCCGTGGGTCAGTGATTTCAACGTGCTTAGAGCAGTCACACTTCGCGGGTGTAGAGAAGGGGAGGCCTAGCCTGAAGCGGACCGCGTTTGCGAAGTGAGGAGGGCCTACACGGCGGGTAGGTTCTATCGGGATAGCGGTTAGCCAGTCCCCTGTGCCGTAGCCTGTCAGGGAGAAAAGCCGTTGGGTGTGGCCTGACAGTGGGTTGAGACTCATGTGTCGTGTAGCCCGCACTTGCGTGGCATATCTACTCCCCTGCACCCGCACCCCAAGCTCGTGTTGCAGTTTCAGCCCCTTTGGCTCCAGCCTCTCCATGTCAAGTATGTCTCTAGCTTCTTGTGGAAGCGATGTCTCGCACTCCCCCAGCCACTGGTGTAAGGCGGTTGTGGGATCTCGAGGTAGGAGCATGTGGTCTCTGGCCGCCATCAGTGCTTCCTCTGTTTCTAGCGGTAGTGAGCTTAGTAAGAGGCTAGACTGTGTAAAGCTAGCCAGGTAGCCGAAACGGCCTTCCACCGTGGGGTCCGATAGTCCAATACCGCCTAGTGACGGTGGGAGTGAGGACTGTTCCCAAACCCGACTCTGTTCTGTGCTGTCCGCCGGGAATGGAATGCCACATTCTGTGAGAAGCGTGGCGAGGAGGTCCATACCCCACTGGGACCAGGTGTCATGGTTCAGGAGATTTAGCGGGGTCGTTTGTATGAGGTATCCTACACGGCGGCAGATGCAGCGTGTGAGGAGGAGGGAAGCTATCTGCGGGTCTAGGCGCTCGATCAGAGGTAGTGGCCTTGTCATGTCTTGTAGCTGGGCTGCTAGGAAGGCAGCAGCGCCTTCCGGTGTGCCTATGAAACTGCCCAGAAGTTTAACGCCCGCATCACTAGTAGGGACTCCTGTCGGCAGTCGTACTGAACTATCTAGCGGCTGTCTGCTCCATGCGGCACATTTCTCGGGGTTGTGTCGCAAACCCAATTGAGCTAGCTGACTGGTAAAATGGGAGAAAGCTGCGACAGCCTCCTGTGGTTCGCCCAGGAAGCTCACGTCGTCGGCGTATGCCAGGCACAGCACGCCGGGGTGCAGTGCTGCTGTTGTTCTTAGTGCAGGGTGGATCTCTCTCTCTCTCTCTCTCTCTCTCTCTCTCTCTCTCTCTCTCTCTGTCTCTCTCTCTCTCTCTCTCTCTCTCTCTCTCTCTCTCTCTCTCTCTAGCTACTACTCTGCAATTCTCGGTGTTCGTGTGTTCTCTCTCTCTAGCTACTACTCTTCACTCAGACTAACCTGGAGCTCCAAGGAATACATGACGTGCGTTGTCTCTCGCGCGGAGATGCAGTCGGGCGACTTCTTGCAGTCCTGCCAGGTATCGTTGTGATGGTGCACGAGCTTGGAAACAAAAACATGTACCAGATGGTAACCAGCTACCAATTCCAGTTCCTGCTGCGCTTCCTTGCTGACGTGCTGGAACAACTGAACGTGCTCAACAAGACGTTCCAGCATCGACAGGTAAGATTTTGCAATTGCTGTGATTCCAAAGACACCGCACATTTATGCATGCAAGCACTGGCTAAGGACACATTGACGCATGCGCCTTCAGTCTTGGTTGCTCCGCTCTTTGATTAACTTTCCTTCCTTTTCTTCTACTGTTTTGTGTGGCAGATTGACCTGGCGGCAGTTCAAGGCCAGATTCGTCGCACGGCAACCCACATCAACACGCGTTATGTGGATTGTGGCGACAACTTTGGAGGCGGCCAGAGCGAGAATCTGTCGCCCTTCATTGCTGGCTTTGTGTGGGGGACAGAGACCCCCACCCAGATGTCTATGAGCGATGCTGCTAGTGACGACGATGACATGTGATGTGATGTGTGTGACATGTATGTAAAATGGTCTATGCAAGCAGTACATAGAAGTTCACTTGAACAATATTACAATTTTTTAAAAGTTATTCTATTTGTGAGAACAGATAAGTGTTTTTTGAAAACGCACCCTGATTTATCAATGTTTTTTTTTTACCAACCCTGAGAAATCAGTGTTCATCCACAGGCAACCCTGATGATCAGTGTTACACCTCCAAGGGACCCTGAGTACTCAGGGTCCCCCAAAACGAATCTGAGGCCCTGCTCATGAGTACATTCATGCAGTTAGATTTGGTTTCTCGCTTCCGCCCCACCTACGTACCTCCCTAGCAAGCCTTCGTACCCTCACGCCCTCCCCCTCCCCCCCCCTCCCCCCCCCCCCCTCCTCTAATGGCCCCCTCTAGCGCCCGTCACAGCCCCCCTCTAGCATCCAGTCGCGCGCCTACCGTCGCGCCATACTGCCACGCTCTTCCGCGCGCCCCACGGTGCCTCGCTGTGCGCCTGCCGCGGCCGCCAAGCACCTACTACGCAGTTGCCGCGTGCCATGCCGCGCGCCCTGCCGCACCTCCCGCGCACCTGCCATGTGCCCTGCCGCGCCCTGCCGCGCCTTGCTGCGAGCCTACCGCGCGCCCTGCCGCACGCCCACCATCGCGCCATGATGTCGCGTTTATCGTGTGCCCTGCCATCGCACCTGCCGCGCACCTGCCGCGAGCCTGCCGGCCGCGCCTGCAGCTGCGTTTGCCGACCGTGCCTACCGCGCGCCTGTCGCCGTGCCTGCAGCTGCTGCCCGCCGCCGCGCCTTTAGGGCATGTTCCTACGGCCTCTTAGAGCGTGTACCTACGGGCCCCTATCAGGCCAACCTTTTATCAGCTCAGCCTTCCACGCTTGTAAATCGGCATTCTCGGAATAACCCCTTGTCACACACTGTTGCCGGTTTGCGATTTTGCACGACTGTAAATCAGTGATGATGTGGCCCCATGCGACACTGCGTTGTTGCGTAACTTGTAAATTGGTGCTCTGTATGCGGTTCGACGCACATTTGCAGGTGCCACATCACCTTCATCACACAAACAACATCTATTTCTATATGCAACAACCCAAGTCCACAGAGCAGCTCTGGCGTCTCTCCGCACCACTCCATGTCCAAATAAAAGCGCACATCCTGCACGCTATTTCATAACAGCACAGTAGCATGACCGATGTGTCGTTTCTCCCACAGCTGCTAATCGTCTGGCTCGCCTTCTACTACAATAACTTTTTAGAATGTGCCACAAAGGCGTTCATACAGCTTCTCGAGCATATAGAGTCTGGCAGCTACGACCAATACAATGGAGAAACTAGGGGTGCACTACGTGGACATAACCGAGCATGACGTCGTCGGTGCTTACAGTTATGGGAGGACGAGATGGCGTCCATGTCGGCTGAGACATTCACTAACCTTTTTAGAATAAACCGTGCCATCTTAGACCACGATTGTGGTGGAATGCACCATATTCTTCACCCAGTAATTGAGAGGCACCGCATGCCCATTACAAATGCTATCCTAGTACCAATCAAGTATTTCGCAAGCGTGATGTCGTACGTTGACCTGGCGTTTTGGTTCGGCGTCCCAAAAACCCTCTGTCACAAGCTCGTGGACTTGTTCTTAAAGAACTTCCCACGCGTATTCAAATCGGCATGGGTACGATTCCCAACAAGGGACGAAATGGAAATCATGGCTACTGAGTTTCAGAGCATTAAGGGCATCCTTGCTGTAATAGGAGCTATAGATGGTACCCACGTGCAAATAAGGGGTACGGAGGGACACCGGGCAGAGTACTATACCAGAAAATCTCAATATGCAGTGCAACTACGGATTACATGCGACGCAAACAGAACGATCTGGGATGATCTCATTGGGTTCCCAGGGACCGTGCACGACCAGAGAGTGTTCGTCAAGTCCTACCTCTACAAACGACTACAACGGGGCGACATCGCCCCTTACCAGTTGATTGGCGATGCCGCCTACCCTTTGAGAGCGTCCATGCCGGTGCATCTTGTGTCGTGATCCTGCACAATATGGGGATTAAAATGGCAGGGGCGCATATGAAGAACCCAAACCACAAGTGGGCGGCCATTGCATTTAACAGGGACCCATGTGTAAAAATAGTGAAGGAATGAATGACTGAATAAGCAAGGAGGTGGGTACAAGTAGGAAACCTAAAAGTGTTGAACCCTATATGAACTACCCCACTACAGCCTAAACATACTATAGCATATAAGTTTGACACACCCCCATAGGCAAAGTGGGGGAGAACAAGAGGTCACAAGACCGGTCAAGAAAGGAAAAGCAAGCTCAGGGTGGATCACGACGTCACCACGCATTCTGAGCACAAGCAAATGGCCACAAGGCCAGTTCACATGCAGAGTTATATAAAGGAGAACAAACAATACAGTGAACACAACCTAGCAAGTGTAAGCATGCAGGTATATGTATACAGATCATAGTACAAGCAGAGTCAAGAAGTGAGCAAGTGAGGCCAAGTAGGCACAAGACCTAGCATAGTACAAAAGCGCTGATGATCACAAGGCTGAAGTGCCTTGGTAAAGATATCAGCAGTGTTGGCCTGAGTGGCCACGTAAGCAAGACGAAGCTGACCACGCTGCTGCAACTCTCGAGCAAGGAAGTAGCGCAGAGCAATGTGCTTCGTTCTGTGCTCCAGTCTGTGCTCCTGACACAAGGCAAGCATGGCCTTATTGTCGACGTACAGAACTGGAGGAGAACGAGGCGCCTCTCCCAAGTCGGTCAGCAGGTAGGTGAGCCAGCGTAACTCCTGTGCAGCCATGGCCCCTGCGTAGATCTCAGCCTCACAACTGGAGCTGAGAACAGAAGACGAGCAGGTAGACCGCCAAGAGACAGAGCCGGAGGCAAGGCTGAAGGTGTAACCCTGTGACGACTGCTGCGTAGCCAAGTCGTTAACCCAGGAAGCGTCTACGTGACCAGTGAGGACAACTCGAGCCTGTCCTCCAAGCACTAGCCCCATGCCCGACGTACTGCACAAGTAACGCAGTACCCTCTTCGCAGCATCCCAGTGCACCTTTCGGTGCCTGTCGGGAGCCACGTAGCGTGCCAGGAGGCTGAGAGGGTACGCGAGGTCGGGTCGAGTGCACGTCATCAGGTACATGAGGCAGCCCACAAGCTCTGGATACGGGCCACTCGGCTCTACGGACTCGTCCGAAGGTGGAGCTGAGAGCGAGTGACCGGTAGGCAGAGGAGTGGACTGTGGCGAGGAGTACGTGAAGCCGAAGCGCTGAAGGACCTGCTGCACCATGTGTGACTGAGTCAAGGTAATGGTGCGCTGTGCTCTGTCCCGGGTGATCCGCAAGCCAAGATAGCTTGTCACCTCACCCAGGTCTGTGCACGTGTGTCTCTTCTGCAGCTCAGACTTCACGTGGGCGAGTGCCTCAGTGTCAGCAGTAGCAAAGACCAAGTCGTCTACGTACACGAGAACGTGGAACGGCGGCAGAGTGGTGTCAGTGCGTAAAAACAGCGACGGGTCAGCAGTGGAAGGAGCAAAACCAAGAGCAGCAAGAGTCGTCCTCAGTGTGTCGTGCCACTCATGGGGTGCCTGGCGGAGACCGTAGGCTGGCCGGCGGAGGCTCCACTGGGTACCAGCAGGAAACGACCCAGTGAAGCCAGGTGGGCGGCGCAGCCAGATCTCCTCGTGCAGGCTGCCCTGTAGGAAGGCTGTGCTGAAGTCAGGCGAGTGGAGCTCGTAGTCACGCTGAGCAGCAACGTGCAGCAGTACCCGAAGAGTGGTCATCTTCAGGGTAGAGGAGAAGGTCTGGAAGAAGTCAACTCCCTGTCGCAGACTGAAGCCACGTGCAACGTAACGCGCCTTGAAGACAGGCGGAGAACACGGCGGCCGCTTCACCCTGAAGATCCACATGCCACTGACGATGTTCGCCCCAGGCGAGGGAACCTCGTCGACGTAGGTGCCTGTGGACTTCCAGGAAGCCATCTTTGTGTCCATGGCTGCCTGCCACTGAGAGGAGTAGGGACCCTCTATCGCCTCTGCATAAGAGCGCATGGTCGGGATGTCTGGTGCATCCAGGTCTCCCTCAGGGGCAAGCAGCATGGACACGAGATGAGGTACAGCAGCGGCAAAGCACTCAAACTCCTCCTCTCTATCCTCAAGGACGTCCATGCCAAGAGCACACTCACCCCCGACAGACGGAGGACAGACAGACGCAGACTCAGACTCAGCAACAAGACTAGTGGCGTAGTCTAGACGACAAGCGGCAGCAAAGTCAACAAGCTCAGCAACGAGAGCAGACGCAGCAGTGGACTCAAACAAAGGGTCAGTGACAGTAGTAGCCAGAAAAAGCGTGACAGTAGGACTAGCAGCACGAAGGGAGTCAGACTTCGGGTCCGGACCGTCAGGAAGAGAGGACGCAGGAGGAGACGGCAGAGGGAGACGTTGTGGAGCAGTGGAAGGACGCAGAGTCATATAGTGAGTGCCGAGGACAGGAGGAGGACGCTGACGCCGAACACGACGACCAGTGCAAACAGCGCGGACAGGTGACTCAGGACGAGACTCAGGTGACGCAGGACGAGACTCAGGCGACGCAGGACGAGACTTAGACTCACGACGCTCCGTAAGACCTCTAGTCGGTCCAAAGTAAGGAGAGGGACCAGGCAGTGGAGAGGCTGGCTGTAACTGCGACAGTGACTGGACAGGCGGTGGACTCAGTAAAGGAGGAGTAGGACCAGTGGAAGGCGGGAGACCAAGAACCTGCTAAAGGCGCAGAACGTAGTACGGTCGCGGCCGCGCAGCGCCTCCAGAAACAGCAGAGACAGCACCAGTACCCTCAGCTCCAGGGTCTCCAGCTACAACTCCCGCAGCACCACCAGCTCCAGTACCTCCAACAGCTCCAGCTCCAGCAGCACCCCCAGAAGCAACAACTCCACCAGCACCAACAGCTCCAGCTCCTGCAGCACCACCAGCCCATTAGCTCCAGTACCTCCAGTACGAGCACCTCCGGGACCAGCTGCTCCAGCACCTCCAGCAGCTCCAACACCAGCAGGACCTCCAACAGCGCTAGTACCTCCAGCACCAGCGCCTCCAGGACCAGTTGCTCCAGCAGCTCCAGCACCAGCAGCACCTCCAGCAGCTCCAGCACCAGCAGCACCTCCAGCAGCTCCAGCACCAGCAGCACCTCCAGCAGCTCCAGCACCAGTTGCACCTCCAGCAGCTCCAGCACCAGCAGCACCTCCAGCAGCAGGCTTTGTAGCCCCAGTAGCACGGCTACAGCGCCGAGCGTACCACTCATGTAGCCGCTGCGGAGAGAGGGGCTCCCGCCGTGACGGGACACCCGGAGGACCTCCAGACCAAGCACGCTCAGGCTCAGCACCCCCAGACTCAGCACCCCCAGGCTCCACATGCTCAGGCTCATCACCCCCAGACTCAGCACCCCCAGGCTCAGCACCCCCAGGCTCTGCACCCACAGACTCAGCAACCCCAGGCTTAGCACCCCCAGTCCCCGCACCCGCAGGCTCAGCATCCCTAGCAGCTACCTCGACAGGCTCGACAGGGTCTATCTGGGACACACCGGAGGGGGCAGGACCCTGAGGGGGGAGGGGGTCTACCAGAGGAGCACCTGGTGCTAGGAAGAGTGGCGGGGGGGGGGAGAGAGGCAGTGCGGTAGGGAAAGAGACGGTAGTAAGATACCGACTCGTCAAACGTGACGTCCTGAGAGGACGAACACGACGCGAGGTGGGGTGGTAAAACTGCGACCCAGGTGCGTCAAGGGGGAAGCCAAGGAGGATGCAGGGGACGGCACGGGAG